AAATTCATCATAATAACAAATGATCAACTATACATGTACATTTTATGCGGAGAATATCACGCATGAATTAATTGTATTTCTAAAGATAAATTCGAAACACCAGACATTAAATTATATAAATTGCCATTTATAATTCTGCTTCAACTAATCAAATTTCTGAAACAAGAATTAGATAAAAAATACTTTATGATTTTTTATGATAATAGGTACATGTAAATATAAAGAAGACAGAACGATACCATATCTGGAGAATTTTAAGATTTTAAGTTCCTGTAAAACATTTCTATTCTTAAATATTATCAATATTTTATTCTGTTACAAACAAATGATGCACAGTATACTTATTTTACAAGGGATTAAAATGTACCTACCCTCTATTTACAATCTTCTCAAAATGCTCCATTAGTAAAATCATTCAGATAAAAGGTTGACAGAGTGATTTTTCCATGAATAAATAAAATCCCACAAATGTCTATCAATCAACTTTATAGAAATTATCAAAAGAATAAACAGGAATTAATTCTCGTCAACAATCACCTGGCCGGGTATTTCCAGGTGAGAATATTCAGGTAAACATAACACTTCCTCCACATTGGAGTTCAATCACCCAGAGGAACAGAGAGCAGACTAGTACACGTTACGCAATAACCTCGCTCAGGTATCACAACTACGGTACATAGTACTTCGGCACTAAACACTGGTCAGATTACTAGAACCTCGCTCAGGTATCACAACTACGGTACACAGTACTTAGGCACTATAAACACTGGTCAGATTACTAGAACATCATCAGTCAGGTATCACAACTATACACAGTACTTAGGCACTATAAACACTGGTCAGATTACTAGAACCTCGCTCAGGTACCACAGCTACAGTACATAGTACTTCAGCACTTAACACTGGTCAGTTTACATGTACTAACATCTATTATTATAAGCTACCTCTAATTGTGTGTATATGGATGCATCCAGATCAGTAGCTTATGGTAAAAAACATGTTTCAAGTGTGTTCCTTTCCTTCCTTTTGCACAGAAAGTCTATATATACATGTATATGTTGATATTATACTGGAATTGTGACAACGGAATGTATGTGAATATATATAAATAACTATTATATCTACACTGTATCTATGTAATGATCCTGATTATAGCAGCAGAAAAAAAAACTAATTAAAATGTGTACTGTGTCAGTCTCTGTCTGACTGTGAATAGGATAAGTGCATGACATCACGATACTGGAAGCAGGAAAAACCCAAAATGCATGGTTATTTCTCTTACAAATTGCTTTATTGATCATGAATGTAAAGTACATATTAAATTTTTTTCACCAACCGAAAAGTACCCTTTAGATGGAAACTATATGGTTTCCTGATACGTACACTACATCACAAAAAAAATTGTCCAACATCCCAAGCAAATAGGCCATTGAATGGTTTGAACAAATCTGACCACACTCTACCTGAGGACGCTTCCAAATAGATTATCAAAGCTAATTATCTGTTCTTGACAAGAAGAGTAAACAAAATTTCAAATATGTTCCTATGTTAAGCCATGATTTGTCCTAAATGTGGCCCCACCTATCCTGGGGTTGCTGATTTGAACAAGTTTTTCATTTTTAAAAAGAACTTTCTGTCAGTCAGATGCAGCCTCTTTCTGAATCCTCTCAGAATTTGAATTAAACCAGAGGTATTTATTATTCAAGTATTTTACCCTGGATATATATCTCAAATCCTTGATATCATGAAGTTTTTTGTTTTTTTTGGCCCATTGAGTTCAAGAGACTGATGTTTGACTGTACATTGTATATTAATAAGTAATATCATCATGAGACTTGTGATTCAATCAAGTCTTAGCTCTTAATGAAAGACAAACTCTTTTACATATACTCGGTATATGTACATTACATGTATACATGAATAACACAAAATCTTGGTGAAAGTCCCTAAACTCGAACTTAAGATGAGGAAGTACTTTTTATGAAAGGAGTAGGTGACAGAACTAACATAATGTGATATGAAAACTTCTCTCCTTCAAGTGCATCTTCATTTCTATTTTTGGCACATAAAAATTCCTTCTTTTTTTTTTAAATCATTTTCTGATTTTCAATATATTAAAACAAAAAATTCATAGTGAAAGATGTAATTGAAAAATAACAACAATGAACATTAATTTTTACAAAAGACTGATTGAAAAGCTGAAATTTGCATTTAAAATAAATCAATTAATGTATGAAATTTATTGGTAAGAAGTTATAATTCTAGCTTTCATAGTACGAGTACAAATGTAATTATATGTAAGTTTGTTTGTATGTTATTTAACGTCCCTATCGAGAATTTTTCACTCATATGGAGACACCACCACTTGCCAGTAGAGAGCTGCAAATTTTGTCCTATACTCAGCACTCAAGGCCATCGAGCAGGGAGGGATCTTTTTCGACTTTTCGTGCCAGAACCTACTGCAACACAGGACCTCGGTTCATACAGTCTCATCCGAAGGACCAGTCTCTAAGTCCCACAGTGGGATTCAAACCCACGACGTAAGGATCAACTCCTTACTTCAAAATTCTAGAGAAGATGCTCTAACCACTGCGCCATGCGGGCAATTTATTGGTACATGCAAGATAAATACTTACAGACAGACAGATGAACAGGAATGCCATATACTCAAGGTTTTACACATACAGATTTAACTAATCTCCAAGAATGGCACTGTTTCTTAATTTTCATTTCTCCCATTAAAAGAGGGGATGCCTTTCCATTTTATTAGTCATAAATTCTAGCTTCTACTAACTTCTCAGAATGCTTTACCGGTAATCATGGCAAAATATGTAGAAACTAATTAACATATAACATTCTGAAGAAGGTCAAAATGTGAAAAGTTAACAGACTACTACACCTCTTTGATCCACTAAAACTGAGACCCCCTTATATAGCCCACCTAAGGCTCGCTGTGTGATGAACCAATCTGAATCTACATTATACATATATATATGGAACCTTTCTGTTACCAGTAATTTTTTTTCTTTCTGGCTCCCTGCTTATGGAGATTTTTATAACTCCATTTCCCCTTCTTATCTCCCCTTGAAAGATGGCATGGCCAAAAGCTCCCTTGATTCAGGTGAGCTAAAACAAGTAATACATGCATGTATCTAATGAACCATTCCAATATATGTATTCATCAAGTTTCTGTATTTAAACTTTTTTGAAATATATCCATGAAACGCGAAATGTAGATTTATAGATAATTACTGTGGACCTGGTTTTGTTATCAGTATACAATTTCCTCCTCTCCCCCAGGAGTTCGTTAGCCAGATAATTAGCTTAACATCCAAGCTGATTGGTTTAATGTCCAGTCTGACCTTTGGTTCTGAGCAAACAGTAACTCACTAACACGAGTCTCAGTGGCTTTCTAGTGTACCCAATAATTAACTGACTCCTGTTATTGTCCAGTTAATTTTATCACTGATCACTGTTATTATTGATAAGGCTGGCTTCAGAAACATGGTGTATTGAATCAAATATCACATTTAGAAAAGGAAAATTAATTTGTACAACAAATACTTTATAGCATCTAGTACAGTGCCTTATTACAAAATCATTGTTTTCAGATTCATACAAGTTGTCATGCAGTCCTAAAAAAATTAACTTTAAATTTTAAGACATGTCTGAGATAATTAAAAACCTGATTTTTCCAATTACAGATATTCATAAATGTAAGCTTTAACAATTAGATCTAAAGATTTCAAACACAGTCCTTTCATTGAACCCAAAGTGGTTTTAACAACTGTCTCTGCTAATAAGTCATAATTGACTGCAGCATCTGCCAAACCTTTGATGATCTTTTTTCTGGGAAACTTGAGATCGCTGAGATTTAGTAGGATGTTTGGCACATCTCTTAAAGCATTTGTCTTGAATATATACCCCTTGCTTTTTTATTTGACTTCATGGTTATATACAACACATTGCTCATTTCTCATAATAAAAGGGCCAATTACCCTCAAACACATGTTAGAGTGCATCACTGTCAAGCATCCAAGCAAACCAAACTCAACCGAAACCTGGAAACTCTTAGCTTGGTGACCCTTATGATAAAATTTAAAATAATTTTACAATAAAAACCCAGTAATAGCTGCCTTACTTCAAATTCTGCCAGCATAGAGGAAGAAATAAATAAATTGAGCAAATACCATCTTAGATTGGTTTTATCAGGAGGCAACATACATGTGGGGTGTTATCAGGATTTGTTAACAGGTTAAATAGCACCTGCTGAGTCGAGAAGTCCCTGGCTAGAACCCTCTCCAATATAGTCACCTGATGGCTGACTGTGATATAATACTCACAATGTTAGTAAGTAAAAAAAATAACAATCTGCACACTCCTCTCCATGCTTGCTTGCTATTTCTGATACAATCTTGCTAACCAGGATATCAGAATATATCTCCATAAAGTAGCTTAAATAACCCAGAGACAGCTAATATTACAACTGATTGATAATTAGGGCTGAGTAGGATGACTGTTGCTGACACCAATTTTTATGAAAATAGATAAAATAGTTTCTGATTATGATTTTTAATCAACTATTTCATGTTTAGGAGAGGGTAAATGCCTTATATACAAGTTAATTACAAGGTAATGAAGTCACTATATATACATGTAACAAACCCACGATTTGTTGCCTATTAGTCTATTTCTGTATACAGCAATCAAGAGAGCTTCACCTACAGATCAAAGTTACAGTGGAGTTCTTTTAGTAGTACCCAGTAGGGTTGCCAATTTACACTGCATTAAGGAAGATATTATCATATTTATATAGAATCAAGTTCTCTGCATGTTTATTAAAAGATAAGCAAGATAAACTCATTCCTGCCAAATGTTAATTTGTTAATATTTAGATTTGTTGTGTGCAGCTTTATAGGTCCCCCAAGGCGTATATTTCATGTATATAACAGCACCTTACATAACCTAAACATGTAGCCTGCCTGAGGTAAATATCTTACCGAGCACTACCCGTGTTTTCTCGGGTCATGTTCCATCCATTCACACTTACGACCTCGTCGTCAACATGAACTTGTCCATTCTCACTTGCGACACTTCCCTCTTTGATGAAAATGATGCGAATAATTGAATTCTTGTCACAGGGTGACCCATTTTCTACTGCAGTATCACTTCTAAGTCTGGTCCTGGCCCTGTAGTCTAGCTTATCTTGAGTCAGACCCACAATTATCCCTAAATCCCGTGGTAGAAAGTCCTGAAAAGTCACAGAAAACACTTGGTCTTTACGTGGGGGTTTGGCAGGCGGGGACATTTTTTCTTTGTGCACATGTTCTTGGGAGCTACAGTTCGTCAAGGTATCCTTCAATAGAGGATTTTCATATATACTCCTGACTGCGGAGACTTTAGTCTTGTGGTAATCACTATGTCCAAAATTTCCACCTCTCTCATCCTCATCTGAAAGATTTTCATTTAAGCTTCTTTTCCGGAATTTATTTCTTTTCCTCCTGTTTGGTGAAATTCCCCTATCTCCCGAAACACTCCGATGTTTTCTGAATTTACTAAGGTAAGATTTTAATGCCTCCATGAAACCGAGGTGGTCTGCACTTGGAATCAATACACGATGTCATCCGCTATGTAAGATATGGGGGAACAACAGATGTTTCTGTATACCATGACTTCTGCGCTCTTTTTAAGTCGCTCTGCAGTACTATCCATTAATAACCAGCCGATTTCTAGGGTGTTATCTCCCCGTTAGATCTGTGACACTTTCCTGTAAACAATGCGAGGTTTTACGCGGCTTTTGTGTTGCTTACCATAGTAACAATTAAAATACTTATATCTCATCATATCTCTTGTAAAACATTTCCAAAAACCGTGAAAACATTCCACTCCTTCTAATACACATTTTAATGATATTCCTCGTGTTGTAAAAAATTATTTCTTTTTGGAGCATCCTGTCGACTGAAATTATGACACGTGGAATCAAAAATAGCGTGAAATGGTTTTCCCTCCACCACGAGCTTTGATCAGCTGTTTTTCATCATGCGGTGTGGGAACAAGCGCTATGCCTGTATCAGCACACCCCAGGAACTAGCTAGTAGAGCCGTCCACCGCTGTTGATGCTGCATGTATATATAGGCGATTTATTTTTGCATCGCAATGACAAAATAGGACCTCTAAATTATGAACGTCCCCGGATAACACTGTTTAAAGCTCACCTGTGCCGAAGGCTCAAGCGAGTTTTTTTTATGATCATATTTAGTCCAGCGTCCGTTTGCCTGTCTGTCTGTCTGTATATAATCTTTCACTTGTTTAACCTCATTCTCGCAAGCCATGGTTTAACCTTTTCTCAAAATGTATCCTTAGATGGGGACGGGGGAATGGGTTGGAAGCAAATTGGAAACGTGTAGGGGGGGGGGGGCTAAATCAAAGAGAAAAAAATCAAACCTGGAAAAAAAAAAACTCGACAAACAAAAAAAACAAAAAAAAAAACTAGAGGTACTGTGAGCAAAGAGCTCACTAAATGATACCCCCCGCCTCCCATATGAATAAAATGGTGTCCATGTTTTGCTCTGGAAAATCCAAAAAATATGTCAGATAAAAAAGTAAAATAGGTGCACAATGGCAATATGTAATAAAGATTCTGTGAAAGTTTCATTAAATTTCCTTCAGTGGTATGAGAGGAGTTGCGGATAAGAGATGGGTACCCCAAAGCGTAACAGACGGACGGACGGACGTACAGACGGACTGACGGACGGAATTAACGATTACTATATACCCTCCCGCTTTTCAAGCGGGGGGTATAATAAAAAAGGAAAATTGTCTAAACATGAAAATCATATTTCGTGTGTGGGTGTGTGTGTGTGTGATAGGTTCGAACTTTTTTCAGTACTAAATTTATCTCCAAACACTACCAGTTTACCTTCTTTGACTACACTGCAATGTACCTGTTGAAAGTGGGGGAGGGGGGTGGGGGCTAAATTTTAAGCTAGCCCCAATCTTCAATGCCTATATTATGTCTAGACTATTTTGGCCAAAAAAGGGGGCGTAAGTCCCCCTTAGCCCCCCCGTTTCTGACGCCTATGCGAATTCTTGAAAATCAAATGGTATTTTCTAAAAATCCTCTCCTCTCAAGAACTACTGGGATAGAAAATATGAAACTTATGTGAAACCATCCTAAGGGGGTGTTTTTCCACAAATTTTATTAAAAAATTTGCGGAAAGACAGTGGAGCATGTTCATTTTTTTTTTCAAATTATGATGATTGTAAAAAAAAAAATAACGATCAGTCGATCAAGCCAATGTTGAATATTGCGAAATTACTGAATCAGTAAATATATAAAATATGATGACAAAATTGTTTGTTTGTTGGCGGATACAAAGGGGGGAGTTCCGGGGGTTGGACCCCCTTTATTTTTGTACTCTGAGAGAGAAAGAGAGAGAGAGAGAGAGAGATACGAAAGCCCGTATAGAGAGAGAGTTTTTCTGCAATATAGATATTTATACGTCTCATAATTTGGAAAAAATAAAAATATTTCTGTCCTTTCTGCTCGCTAGATCTGTGGAGTTTCGCGTATATGCTTTCCTCGCTTTCCTCCGTGTATACCTTCACAACCCCGGCTATGGGCTCCGACCACCCACAAGTAACATGCGAGGAAGATTCCAGCGAACTTTAGCTATACCATTTTTGGACTGTCTTCAGAATTAAGTAACTAACTTTTAGAAGTATGCATAAAATACACATTTTTTGTTGCCGGAAAATACGCAGATTCAAGCATTTGAAAGTAATGTACCGAACAGAAAAGTTATAGGAAGCCCCCCCCCTACCCCCTTCCAAAAAGGAATTTAGAGTGTGGTGCATAGGGGTTTTTTTTGTTTTTGTTTTGTTTGTTTGTTTGTTTGTTTTTTTGCTTGTCATCTGTTTTTGGAGGTCCCCCTTCTCATAAATGTAGCTACGGACTTGAAGTGGCCGTGGTGTGATTCTATGCATTAGTGGTGAAGGCACCGACCTAGAACCCCACCCCCCTTTTCAAAAAATGTTGGATCCGCCCCTGATTTGTTATTTACTCTCAGACCATACGATGACCATACGATGGTATATGAGGTACATATACTGACTACTGAGTATACAAAATACAAATCACGTAAGGAAGAGTAGTGTCAAACTAGAACTGTCCAAACGGGACAAAATACCCCCGCTGGGTTTTTCAGAAGTAGGTTTTTCCATAATAAAGATATGTATCAAACACGAATTATGAAATTTTTCTTCCAGGGACCTTGAACTTCCCCAAATGACCTTGGGTCAAGGTCACGACACACCCTTGGGTCATGGGCAATCTTTGTGTGAAATGAGAACCTACCAAGTTTATCCATAAGAAAGATATGGACCGGACACGAATTATGAAATTTTTCTACCAGTGACCTTGAACTTCCCCAAATGACCTTGGGTCAAGGTCATGACACACCCTTCGGTCATGGGCAATCTTAGTGTGAAATGAAAACCTACCAAGTTTATCCATAAGAAAGATATGGACCGGACACGAATTATGAAATTTTTATTCCAGTGACCTTGAACTTCCCCAAATGACCTTGGGTCAAGGTCATGACACACCCTTCGGTCATGGGCAATCTTTGTGTGAAATGAGAACCTACCAAGTTTATCCATAAGAAAGATATGGACCGGACACAAATTATGAAATTTTTCTTCCAGTGACCTTGAACTTCCTCAAATGACCTTGGGCCAAGGTCATGACACACCCTTGGGTCGTGGGCAATCTTTGTGTGAAATGAGAACCTACCAAGTTTATCCATAAGAAAGATATGTATCAAACATGAATTATGAAATTTTTCTTCCAGTGACCTTGAACTTCCTCAAATGACCTTGGGTCAAGGTCCTGACACACCCTTGGGTCATGGGCAATCTTTGTGTGAAATGAGAACCTACCAAGTTTATCCATAAGAAAGATATGGACCGGACACGAATTATGAAATTTTCTTCCAGTGACCTTGAATTTCCCCAAATGACCTTGGGTCAAGGTCATGACACACCCTTAGGTCATGAGCAATCTTAGTGTGGAGTAGTAAATTTTAATGTCCCTCTGTAAGAAAGATATGGACCGGACACGATTGCACAGACAGACGGACAGACAGACAGACGGACGGACAGACAGACGGACAAGGTGATTCCTATATACCCCCCAAACTTTGTTTGCGGGGGGTATAATAAGAAAATATTACTGAAAACAGGCCAATATCTTTTTAGTAAACAAAGACAAATTTAACACTGAGTCAACATTTGTGATAGACATTATTTTCTTAAACTTATAAGTATTTACATGAGAACATTACTTCTTATCAATAAGTTTTACACTTAAAGACGAAAAATATGGTCATTCCATTATATAATGGAATTCATCACTCAAAATCTTTTTATTACATAAATGACATATTCTTAAAGATCTAGCTGTCAGTATTAGTCCATCTATATACCCGTTTCGACTGGAAGTTTGTGGTTACAAGTTTTAAATTTTGTTAATACAATACCTAAGTCTTTGGGGAGTTTGCTTAAGTATATTTTACACCAATCTAATGCAAAATAAATTGCATTTTGCCAATATATGTTATTTGTGTTGAGTTCAAAGAATAGTTAATTAGTACTTGATTTATTAACTTAAAACCAGCGTCAACAAGTTGATTGCTTTTTTTTCAACTCTTTTCGGGGAGGGGGGATGTCTCTCATTGAAATCAGGTTTGAAAACATCACCAAATTTTTAAATATACAAGAAAATGAATAAATGACCCTTGAATCTTCCCGTTTGTTGAACTTCGGTAATATTCCATGTATAGCACTGACAAAAATCGGGGGTCTATAGTTTTTGTTCTGTCTGCCCGTCTATCCGTTTGTCAAAAACTTGAACCTTGCCCATGACATTTGAGCGGGCGGAGCTATAGCTTTTATATTTCACAGGTATTCTTTTGTAATAATTTGCGTGTTTGAGAAACACTGATGCCCCCGTATGGTAGCTAATTGCAAGAGTTGAAGTATCTCAGATGTCAGTCAAACCCAAAAAGTCAAGGTTAAAAGGTAAAAAATTCTTGGTTTCAAATAGGAAGATCTTGTCACATAGAATGCGCCTGTGAAATATGAATGTCCTAGTGCTCTTCAAAGTAATGGCCAAAGATATGAAAAAATTAAAGTGGCTCAAACTCTAAGGTAAAGGTCAGAAATATTTAATACCCATTGGAAGGTCTTGTTAAGATCAATACACATGTGAAATATCCGTTCAAAAGTTATGGCCAAGGCGAAAGTGTGGTAATTTTTTGAAAAAGTGGGTCAAACTCCAAGGTCAAGGTCAGGAAGTCTAATCTGGGGGTGTTACTCAAAGAAAACCCCTGTCACAAGGAATACATTTGTGAAATATGAAAGCCAAAGTCCCAACTACTCAAAAGTTATGGGCAGGAATAAAGTTTTTGTGGACAGACAAGGCATAAACTACATACCCCCAAATATTCAATTACGGGGACAGTAAATCAACTGAAGATTCCTTCAAAGCAAAGTTCAGAATTTGTTTTAGAGGCAAATTGTGCACTCAGATCAAGTTAACCCGAAAACAAAATGTGTTTGTGAAACACTATGCGCCCGGCGGCAACAAATTTCGAAAAAAGCTATTTTTAGCACATGGGTCACAGTCAAGGTCACAAGGTCATTGAACTTGGTATCATTTAAAAGAACTTGATTGGTGGAGAATGCATACCAAATATAAAGTCTCTATACCTCATGGTTCAAGTTATGATGAAGGTTCAAAAAAATTATTTTTAGCATAAAGGTCACAGTCAAGGTCACAAGGTCATTTACCTTGGTGTCGTTTGAAAGAGCTTAATTAATCGAGTAGGCATACTAAATATGAAGTCTCTATCTTTATTAGTTCAAAAGTTATGGCGAAGATTAAAGTTTGAAGACAAAAAAGCTATTTTTAGTATATAGGTCACAGTCAAGGTCACAAAGTCATTGAACTTGGTGTTATCGGAAAGAGCTTAATTAGTAGAGTACGCATACTAAATATGAAGTCTCTATCTTTCATGGTTCAGAAGTTACAGCGAGGG